ATTTTATAGGAATAGCTTGTCTAGCTTCCTTATTTCTTTAACAGTATCTTGAACAGCAGAACACGATCATATGTTTTAGTAAATAAAATACCTGAGCAACAGTATGCTTGATTTACCCGGGTCCATTGTCAATGTCACTTTTCTTCAGGAAAGGAGGCAGGTTTTGTGTGTGTCTCTTTGGAGACTTCTCTAGGAGATTCTCAGCATACTAAATTCTAGAGAAACTTGGGTGTTCGGGATGTGTAGGGTGAACAGCCAGTTGCTGTCTGTGTGGAGTGCAGCCACCGTAGCTTGAAGAGTCCTGGCTACGGGAAGACTCAGAGCCTGCTGCGTAACACTGAGCAGAGAGGAAAACACAAGCATTGTCCCTGTCACTTGACTTGTTTTCTGTTTTGACTTAGGGAAGGGCAAAGCCTTGGCAAGGTCTTGGTACCCTGTAGTGGGGGAATGAAAGACAAGCAAGTTGTGGTGAAAGACCATGCCTCCAAGGAGTCAGCCATTGGACAGCTTGTGTGGCCAGGAGTTACATTTCTTATTGTTGGGCAGAGGGGATTAAGTTTTCGAGAGGCAACTTGAAAGACATCGGAATTGAAAAACACTGTATGATACTTGGCTTTTTTTTTTTTTTTTGAAAAGGGATTCTGTCCTCTCTCCCATAACAGTGTGTTGCTTTTAGTTGATATACCTATGCTTTAAAATATCATAGCTGTTAGGAAGGGCCATTTATAGCAAAATAATTTCCCTTCATATTCTGTGGTATGTCAGTTTGGCAGTAAAGTTTACAGGGTTTGAAATCAAAAGCAGCATTGGTTTCTTCAGAGAAAAATGATCCCAGTCTATCAAAATAAAAGCCAAACAGACTCTAATTGTTCTTTCTCCCATAAAGGGCTTGCCTTTTTGAAGGTGTGGGCAATTTTGATAGGTTTCTTTTTTTTAACAGGGCTAGTGGATGGGAATTGCCATTTCCCCTGAGTAAAATCCATTTTCCAATCTCATTTTAGAGCAGACTTCAAAGTGTCTCTGAAAATAAAAGAAGGGTGGTGCCTCTCCATTCTCTAGCTCCCTCCGTTCCTTCACAGCTCACTTCCTGTGCCCGTCTAATCTGAACTGCTTTACTGTCACTTGTGTTAACTTAGGAAACATTTGAGCTTCAGAATTGTTACTGAACCATACATGTGATTACAGGTGTGTAAGTTAAGTAGATGCCAGCTGGGAGCTTTAATGCTTTTTTTAAAGAAATCATTTTCCATGAAGTCTAGCTGCATAAAGTTTACAGTGTCAGGTATAAGACCATACTTCAATCCTCCTCCTCTCTGTCAGTTCCTCCTGTTTCCTGGGGACTTGAAAAAAAATCACCGAATATTACTTGTATTTTTTTCCTTCACTGAATGAGGAGTTTCAAGCCAGCCTTTTTCTTCTGTCTCTTGTCTCCTTTCCTTCCCCCAGTCTTACGGCCCATGCTTTGGCAACCCCATACAAGAGGCTCCTGGGCCACCAGTCACATGAGAACGAAGGCGAGAAAAGACCAGATGGCATCAAAAGATACGCCTTTCTGGGTCGGGTCGTTAGTGGTTAGTTAAGTTTGCAGGCTGGTTACCACGGGGATACTGCCGGCAAAGGGGAGAGAGCAGCACCATGGAAGGAGAGAATTTGCCTACACTTCTTGTTCTAGACATCTGTGAGAGAAAACACCACGCAGAGCAGCATGTGACTTAACTCTGCAGTCTACAGTCACGGTGTAGCCCTTGCTCTTGGAAGGGTGCATTTCTGTGAGTGGAACAGAAACACATGTGGAAACTGTCTTCTGTGAGAGGGTTATAAACACGCGGTCAGTTGCTGACTTGCAGTGCCATTACTGGCCCTTTGTCATTCTGCCTTCCAAGTGCCCGTTGCACTTGTGTGTAGCAAAACTGAGGAAATGACACGGAGCTCCCACAGAATCACCTCTTCGCACAGGAGAGCGGAGATCACGCGCTGCGCATCCTTCGCGCGGCCCGTTTGGGGGCCGGTATGAACAGAGCGCGGAGAATGCCATCGCTGGCGTTTGGAAACTTGGCTGTTTTCTTGATGTGTGCCATTTACGTGACTGAAGAAACGTTCAGTAGTGGGTAATAAAACATTTTTTTAAAAGAGGGAATTCTGTCTTCTGTTTACATTTAGGCATTTTTAAAATCTTGACTTCCTTGGTGTGGGTAACTCCTGATTTATCAACTAGTAAATTTAAGTAATTTATTGAAGATTTCAAGACTGCTGAAATTAGCTGGTATTTCCTTCTTTATAGAGTCCCAGGTCAGTTGTTCTCTCTTGAATAAAAGAAACTGAGATATTTTTAATTTAATTTAATTTAATTCATTTTTAGTTTTGGGTACTGGGAATGGACCTCAGGACCTCACGCTTGCCAGGCAGGCACTCTGCCGCTGAGCTATGTTCGGGCCCATTTTTAATTTTAGGCTTAAGTTTGGTCCCAGTCTATAAGCTTTGGTCTGTTTAGTCTTAATTACTTGGAAAATCCCTCCTTTTTCCATAAACATCTGGTATCTTTCAAGTCCAAAGTCAGGTTTTACCCTCTTTGCTAAATGTGCCGCCTCTAATTGTAGCCTCTCCTTTTATTCAGAGTCTGTTGCCCTTGATATCTGCACGACTCGTTTCAGCATGAACCAAATGGAATAAAAGAATGTCTTTTAGTTTTCCCACTCAAGTGTCTGAAACAGTGCTGAGTACACAGCAGTCCTGCATATACAACTGAATAATTTCTAAAAAGAGAGAAGACGTTTTAATAGTTATTTTCATTGTTTTTGTTTTACAAGACAGGAAATTCACCCACCCTTTTTATTCTTGATGTGAAACTATAGTAAGGAATCAGAAGTTTCTTAAACTAAAATCTAAAAAGATAATTCCTGGGTGTACTGAATTTCTTGAGTTAAGTAAACAAAATCAACAGAGCTATTCTTGACGTAATTATTAGTTTTTATTTACGGGTAACTTTTTGGGGTGGGGTCTTTCTGAGACAGGATTTCACTATGCATTTCAGGCTGTATAGCCCAGGCTGGCCTCGAACTTGCAGTGATCTTCCTGCCTCAGTCTCCTGTGAGTGCTGGGATTACAGGCATGCATCACCATATATGTTGACAACTTTTGTAGAAGACTAAATGCAGAATAGTTGCTTTACTTACATGCCACAATAATCTTGATGTATTTAAAGGCACTTTGTATGTGTGGTGTTTTGTTTTGTTGGTTGGCTTAGCAAGAACAATCTGATCACGTGACATTGCTTTACTTAAGAGGTCTTAGTAGTGTAGCAGAGAAGTAGAATGTTAAAGATTGCCAGGTGTGGTAGTGTATGCCTGTAATCTCAGCATTCTGGGAGGCTGAGGCAGGAAGATTATAAATTTGAGCCCAACCCGAGTAACTTAGTGTGAGACCTTGTCTGAACATAAAAAATAAAATTCAAATGTAGGTCAGTGTGAAGGCCTTGGATTCAATCTTAAGGGCCTCAAAAAAAAAAAAAAACAAAAAACAAAACAACATATTATGGGGAATCTGTTGATAATACCTTTTAGAGAAGATTTAAAAAAATCCTTACCACAAGTATGTCAGGTTTCAGCCTGGCCCTAGTATTAGACTTGAGATGGTGAGTTTAGGAGATTTGGAATGAAAATTCTAACAGACTTTTACTGTCGTTGGGCTAGTTAGTGGTTGCTGTAAGAATCTTGAAGCCAAACCTCTGACCTCACTACCTTTAGTCATCCTTTATTTTGCCAGTATAATAATTGGCTGTTTAGCACCTTCTCCTAACCCTCTTTCAAAATGCGAGTGCTTGAGAGTTTCACTTGACATTATTTCTTATACATTAAGACAGAGAAGCCATAGTTTCATGAGTGAGCTAGTGAGACAGTTTTGGTCTTTGAAAAGAAGATGGAGGGTGTCTTGTTCATGTTGACATAGTTACCACAAGTTCAGTTGTAACTAAGCTACAACCTTTTAAGAGTTAGGAGTAAATGATGAACACACTTGTTTTTCCTTTTCAGGTAGACTGTAACTGCTGATTAGTATTGTACCTTATGAAGTACCAGACCAAAGACGGACCAGTATTGTTTTAGGATGAAATTAGTGTACTCGGAAACTCACTGTCATCACCAGGATCAGTCCCTTTTAGAGCACAGCAAAGGCAAACCCCCGAGACTTCTTGCTAGCATTTTCAGGAAGAATTTTCACTAACTCTCCCACAAGATGGTTGAATTAGATAATGCAATAACTTTCAGTAAAGAACTGTTAGCTTTGTGTAGAAAATTGGAGGAAAGTAGTGAGAGAGGGTATAAGAGAGAAGAAGAAATACAACTTAAGTTAATGAGTTGGTACATTTAGATAGGAAGCAGACTATTTTCTAGGTTGTTTCAGTAACTAGAACCACAGGACCATGTATTTGTCTAATCCTGTCAGATAGTCAAAGAATTTTATTTCTATTGTGTCAAGTCACATGAAATTGCCATTTTTATAAATGAGAAAGAGCTGAAGACGTGGAAGTTCATATGGTTCAATCTAATACATAATAAAAACGGGTAACATGCTGTAAGATGGCTACAGTTGCAGAGGTAGTGGTGTGTTGGTATATGTGTGTGCACATGTAATTAAAAGGCAGGAGAGAGGAATCGGAAACTTGTAAGCTGAAAATCCCTATTCTAGCCTGTGGTTTTAGGCATTCAAAATCAATTATAATTGTTTTACTGTGTTTTTGCATTTCCATAGTAATTGCAGAATGGACTAAAAAATAAGCCATCTCTGACTGACTACCACTGGGGATAACAATTTGAAGTGACTAATCCATAGGGTACAACAGAGGCATACACTCCCCCCCACACACACTTGCAGATGCTTCAAAGAACTAGGGCTGCGGCCTGGTTATAGGCTGAATAAATGCAAGTTATTGTCTTAAAATAGGTCTCACGGTGTTTGTAGTGGGATATCCAGGCTGTGCTGACTCCACTTTTTGTCTTTCTTAGGCGAGCTCATCTGCGCCTATGTTTAGAACGTTTAAAAGTTCTGATTCCTCTAGGACCAGACTGCACCAGGCACACAACGCTTGGTTTGCTCAACAAAGCCAAAGCACATATCAAGGTGAGAATTTTTACTTTCAGATTTGTGTATGATTCTCTGGATCCTGGTTTCATTATTAGCCATAATTCCTGTCCAAATACATCAGCTGGCTCATTCTACCCTTCTTCATAACTGAAATCAAGAGAAATATTTCTGAAAACTTAACCAGCTAATCTACACTTGATCTTAGCCAAAAGGCCGAGAAGCGATTAACCAGCTAATCTGACAGGAGCGACATAAACTGATTAGACTAAATTATTTCGACTGCGTGGCCACTTGAAGACTGGAGAATGCTAGGAACATAACAGTTACCCTTCTGACAGCCAGGAAGGAGGCAGTTGTGCCCTCTGGTGGAGATGGCTTCACTTGGCTCTGTCCCTCAGTACTTTTCCAGCCAGCACCACACTGCAGAGGAAGTCTGTCCTGTATGGAGGTTGTTTCACAGACTTTTATTTGTTTGACTACATGTTACTTGTGCAAGTAATGTGGCATTCACACACAAAAAAGTAGAAACAACTATTTTTGAGGTTTAAAAAAGATATACTCCTGTATTTTTGTACATGCAGACACATTTTCTGTGCCAGGGTATTTTAAGACGACAGAAATACTCTAATATTTTAAAGTTTGACTGTACAGATGTAAATATCATTCATTGTTTTAGAAACTTGAAGAAGCTGAAAGGAAGAGCCAGCACCAGCTTGAGAACTTGGAACGAGAACAGAGATTTCTAAAGCGACGACTAGAACAGCTGCAGGGTCCTCAAGAGATGGAACGAATACGAATGGACAGCATTGGATCAACTGTTTCTTCAGATCGTTCTGACTCAGAGCGAGGTGGGCAGTGTGTCTACTCCAGTGAACACTTCTGCTGGATTAGGCGGGTGGGCTGGCAGGCACGCTGTCTACTGTCTTTCTAGTCCATAATGTGACAGTCTGTGTTTTATGCAATCACGTTGTCGTCCAGTGCCTGTGTGAATCATGAGACTTTCCTTCTTCAATATATTTAATATATATTGACTTCTTTTGAATATACTTAATTGATTTGAAATGTTAGCATGGTGGTACACACTTGGAATCTCAGTTACTGGGAGGCTGAGGCAGGAGGATGACAGGTTCAAGGTCAGCCTGGACAATTTAGCAAGACCCTATCTCAAAATTTAAAAAAAAAAGATAAGGTTGGGGATGTAGCGATAGACTGCTTTCCAGTGTAGGGCCTGCTTATACTGGTTTACCCACTAATGCCCTTTGTCCCGTCTAGGGGCCTATGTAAAACCCCCTATTACATTACAATTCTTCTGTCTTTTTTAAGTGACCATAACACTTACTGGCCTTTTTATATAGTGTTCCCCATTTGGGTTAGTCTCAGGTTTTAAAATTATTAGATCTGAAGGTACATATTTGGAGCAAGAAATAATCACAGAAGTCAGGCTGTACCCTTTAATTTGTTGTGTCAGGAAGATACACTGTGTTACATTACTGGAGATAATACATGTTTTAAAGTACCACGTCCTTAATTTACTTTTACACCTCTTGTGAAACATTTGTCTTCAGCAGAATTAAAGAACAGAGGCGCCCCCCACAAAAAAGTCTAAATTTTACTGATCTCATCTATAGCTTCAGCCCACCTCAGGCCTCTTGCCACAGTAAAAGATCCCAGAGGGGAACAATGATGACTTTAAGTCTTAACATTTGAGAAAATAAAACTAACGAGGTTTTTTTTTCTTTTTTAAACTAACGAGATTTTGAGGATTCTAAAATACTGTTCAAGTGCCACTAAGTCTTTTTTTCTGAAACAGACTGATGTTCGTTTTGCCTTTTTAAATGGAAATTTCCAAACATAGTCAAAAATAAATAGAATAATGAACTCTCATGCACCCATCATTCAGTTTTAGTAACTGCCAACAATCTGTCTTTGTTTCATCTAAGTCACATCTGAAACTTCAGGCTTTTGAGTTTGTCTGTTTTAAGAGGATTAAAAAATCCTGAGTTTTCACTCTAGTTCTTAAGGACTGTTTTTAAAAAAGTACTATTATTAAATAGTATTGATTTTAGTACTTAACAAGCTGGGGGCCACATACATATTTAGGAGTTTGTTTTTAACTCTAAATTCCACCACCATAGTGCCTTTATGCTAATTCCTTATGTATCTCACTATAATCCCGAAACTAATTTTAAACAAACCCTTATTTCAAGCTGTATTTGGACCTGGAGAAACAGCTCAGTAGCACAGCACTTGCCTACAGCATACTTGAGGTCCTGAGTTCTATTCTCAGCCCCACAAAAAAGTCAGAGATTTCTAGCTATATGTGATGCAAGGGAATTGTAAGACAAACCTCTCAACACCTACTTTATATTGACTGTCTTATTTTAGTTCCTGAGTAAAAATTTTTGGGATAAATTGTAGCAGTCTGTGGAATTAACTATGGAATGTTACCACCATAGGTCTTCATGGACATGTTTTCCAGTTTGCCTGTTTTTAAGTTTATGCTTCTCCTCCTTTTAAGGCAACCCTGATTAATAAACAACACTGAGAGTTAGTTTCTTGCTTAATGTGAAACAGATGTTAGATGTTGGGATCTTTTAATATTAAGTACTAATTCCCAAATAGACCGAGTGCTTTTAGAGAGGGGTCCAGACAGACTGGCGTCAAAGGATTTTAGTAAACTTGCTGCCTAAATTAAGAGCATAGTATAGCAGACATTCTTCTGTGGGGAATACTCCTCTCTTCACCTCCAGTTTGTTCTCCAGAGCACTGATAATATGCTTCTTGCTAACACTTTATACTTTTTTCTCATGCTTTTTAATTTTTGAAGGGGCATGTGTGATTATTAATGCTTCCCTCTTTTCTTTTGACAGAGGAGATTGAAGTGGATGTTGAAAGCACAGAGTTCTCCCATGGAGAAGTGGACAATATAAGTACCACCAGCATCAGTGATATTGATGACCACAGCAGCCTGCAGAGTATTGGGAGTGATGAGGGTTACTCCAGTGCCAGTGTCAAACTTTCATTCACGTCCTAGAACACAGCATGACACAACAGTGCAGGGCAAAATATTCACTGGGCCAATACAATACAATCTGTTAAATTGGGTTCATGTTGCAGTCTCCTCTTTAAAGCTAAACAAAACTATACTTGAACAAGGTCAAGAGACTTGTATTTAAGCAAATGCTTAGCAAAAAGTGGGGTAGAGCCTCCCCAGCAGAACAAATATTCCGAATATTCATATTGGAAAAAAAAATAATTTCTCATGGCAGCAGCAAACATGAAATTACCTTGATTTGATTTAGTTGGTTTAGAAGAGGACATTGGAGAGTCCATCCTCTGTTTGCTCATACTACATGGAGTAGACACGTTCAAAGATGGGGTTATGAACCCTTCCCAAGCTTTATGGCCCTGGAAACAAAATCAAATCTGTAGTGAGGAAGACTAGATAATCAGGCAGTAAACTTGGGTAGCTAAAGAGCTATTAAAACACAGCCTGGGACAACTTATCATGAAGCCTGTGGATGATCAATTCTTTTTTAAAAAACTCATTTCATGCTCTACAAAAGGAGAGACTCCCAAGAAGCCTTTTGAAAGGGATCATCATGCAGCTCAGCTTTCTGTTGGATTCCATGCGAAGCAAGTTGACCTTACCCTGCTTGTTAGCACTAGGGCACCCAACCGCCAGCTCGTCAACCCACCGCCCTTAGGCCATAAGGGGGAACTCCACACCTGATGGCCTCTGTCATACAGGCCTGAGTATGGATTGGGGGCAAGAAGGAACAACTCTACGTGCCTCCCAACCTGCGTGAGTCAGAAGAGTTATGTGCGCAGATTAGCAGGCCAAGGTCTGAGCCATGGCAGCATTTTTATTTGAGATTTTGATAACTTTATATGTGTTGAAAACCAAAATGACATCTTTTTAAAGCTTGTCCATAAGTAAACATAGATGTCTTTTATAGTGGAAAAACATTGGGAAAAATCTATTTTGATGCAGCATTTGATAATAACACCTCACTCTTTATAGTGCACAAAATGAATGAGGTCTGGGCTAGGTAGAAAACGGTCAATGCTGTTTTTGTTTTTAGAATCATTACCCTTACCAGCTTTTAACCATCTGATACCCATAGTAGATACACTATCATAGTTAACATAGTTAAGTTCAGCACTTACGTCATTTTACTGTAAAGATTTGCTTCCATTTTCTACCGTCTCGTCTCACAGTCCCACTGTGCAGGTGCTATTGTTGCTTTTCTATTTTCAGAAATGTTATTTTCTTCTAAGTGAAATTCCTGGCCTGCACTTTGATGTCACATGTTCCCATTGTCTTTCAAATGCCAAGGTTTCCCTCTGGTCCTCACCTCACCTTTACCCCAGGAAGCCTTCCTAGGGACCTAACCTCCCCCTACCCTGGTTTGAACTTTATATACTTTAAATAATTTAACTACCCTTAATTACTTAAAAAAAAAAAGCTTTATGATTTTCATAACTTATTGCTGATTTTAATGGGTTGTTAATTTCAGTCCTGTAGTTTTATTTTATGTTTAGATAGGGCTGGGCAAGAAAAAAAGAAAATAAAGACAACCATATTTAGCAGTGCAGCCGAGTTGTGTGTTAATGTTAGACTCTTTGTGAGCAGCATTTTAACAATTTCAGTGCTTCTGTGTTTGAAGTGTACAATTTTGGTCATACATAAGGCCTCCACACACATATTCACTTGTTCTTGTGCTCCTCTTGTGCCTCCTAAAACACTTTTTCCTTCATCGTGCTGAGAAATGCTTTGAGGTAGATGTGTGTGAAACACTGCATTCTTATAGAAACCACTGTTGGAACTTGCTACACTTCAGGTGCTGGGGACTTCATGAAAAACATGACAAAACAAATTCATTTTTGTGACCCAGGTAAATTAAATCTTCGCTTATAATTGTCCTTGGCTAGGTCAAGATGTTGTACTATGTATCTGCTTGCTTTTGACTTTCCCAAGTGAGAGTTTAAAGAGCATGCTCTCTTCCATAGAAAAGTAAACTGAAGTCCTTGACTAAGATTCCATGTTGTTCCCACGGCACTTTATGTACAGCTGGTACATGTGACAAGACAAACCCGAGGTGCTGCCGTTTTATATGTATAGGGAAGCATTTGTCACAAACTTGTAGATCAGCTGCTCCCCTACACTACTCCTTCCCTGGGTTTGTTTTCTTTGAGGGAAGGCAAGTGTAAATTGTGTAAAGTAAGTGTAAAATGAGTAGGAAGTATTAGTTTTTTAAAGACAAATTGAAGATACCTAAGTTAACAGCAAGAAATAAAAACTGTGAATAAAGAATACTGGCTAACTTTTGTAACACCCTTCTCCATGAAGGTAAAAATATGGATGAATCCACACCTTCAGACATCTCCTAAGTGTAGACACATCAGAAGTCCAGCATTAATGGCAATTTGAATTGTAATTACTATTCTAAAATTTAAACAGATGCCTAGTTCCATATAACCTAACTGCACATAGTTTAATGTATTTTATTTGATAACTGCTTCAAGTGCGGGACAGAGTCACCTAGCATTATCTGATCTGATGAAAGGATCCATTTGGTTACATTATTACACAAACTGAAAACACGACTGGCGGGTCCCATTTAGCTCCCACTAACCTTTTAGGGTACTCTTCTAGTAAAATGCCTGTGGCCTAGATATATGAGGAGGTACAGCTAAATCTTACACTACTGTACTGTCCGAGGATTCTGAAGTCTCTCTAGTTAGCACATGAAGAACTCTTCTAATTTTAAAAAATGTCTTTGTAGGCCTCATGATGCCTGCTTCATGAAGTTTTATTTTTGTTTTTTTTTCATGAAGGAGTTTTAAAAAGCAGTGTTTGAGGCAAAAAGCTCCTCCTCTTTAAGGTCATACTGCTTAATTCATATTTCCTGAGGAAGCTGTTCAGCATTTTAGGAATGTTTGTGAATTTTGTTGTTTTCACTGGAAGTATGTGCTGTTTACTGTCTTTCCACCTCAAAATCCCAAACCAAAGTCAGACTCCAACACATCTATCAAAAATAACGTGGGAAAATCAAGGACTTAAAATTCAATTATCATCATTTGGTAGGCCCTGAGCAATTAATTTCTTCAAGGAATTGTTTCCTCTTGAGAAGCTGTTATACTTACCTCCTCCATCTGGAAACGTAAGGATTTATGCATAATACACATAAGTTGCTCCCGTCTCCCAAATCTTTGTGTAGTAATAAAAGGAAATGAAGAAATCTACACTTTATTTTTTCTCTGATAAGTACAACCTTCTAAAATTTCACCCTTAATCTTGAATTTTAATTACCTTACTTCTCGATCTTAGAGAAAAAGACATTTCTTAAATATTAGCTCATATTAATAAAATTCTGTGGCAAGGAGTAGTTTGTAATTTTTCCCCCTCCTGTTGAGAACTGGGATTGGATCCAGGCCCTTCCCTCTGAGCTCACATCCCAAACGGTTTTTTAAAAGACAAGATCTTACTGAGTCAAGTTGCCTTCAACTCGCCACCCTCCTGCGTCAACTTCCCAGAGTACTGGGATTACAAGTCTGTGCCAGCATGCCTGAACTCATGGGCTTAAGTGATCTTCCTGCCTCCGCCTCCCAAACAGCTGAGACTACAGGCATGACTCAAATTGATAACCTATAAAATTATAAAACAAAGGCTTTATAAGAACAATGTATCATTTTAATTATTACTTGGACATGGTGGTGCACACCTGTCATCCCATTATGTAGATAGGCTGAGACAGGGTTCCGTGTTTGGGTTCCATCTGGGCAAGTTAGTGAGGCCACACCTCAAAAAATTAAAAAAGGGTGAGGGATAGAGTGTAGCATGCCTGAGTTTAACCCCAGTGTACTGAAAAGAAGACTGGACACCTCACACGCTGGTAATAACCACTGCAAGGTATCTCAAAGTCCTATGTAGTGCTGACTTTGCCTAGAAATGCAAATCAGCAGCTGTCTTCTGGGCCCCATGCACTAGATCTAACAGGAAACTGTTGCGACTTGTGTGATTTTTAGTATAATTCAAGGAGATGCACTGACAATTTCACTTGATTGATCTGCCTTTCTTCAGTTACAAATTATGATGTAAAAGAGCCCAAGTGCAATATTTTTAAATACTTTTTACGAACTTACTGTGATTTGGGGATTCCTCCCAACCCACCCATTTTCTTGACTCTTAGGTCTTTACCATAGGGAATACTTAAAAAGTCTTCCCTGTTAAGGCTATTGCCTTAATTGGTGTATTTTAGATGTTCATACCAGGGCACAGAATAGTACTATAAAAATGTAAAAAAGCTACGCAGTATTACTAAAATGAATACTAAAAGAATATTGTGTAAGTTTAGGTCAGTTGTTTCTGAGTAAGTGCTTCATCACACTCCAAAAGCGAGGTCACCTGCACCTGACAGCACTTGTGGAGGAAAGACTCCAGGCCAAAGAACTGAAGGGATACTTACTCCTTCCTGCTACTTGTGAGCAATGGACAACTGGTAATTACCATCTATTAAAGACTAGCCTAGCTGCAGATCTCAGGCTTCAACTCAAGTTTTCCCAGGATATGGAGTGAAGTGTTTGCACCAAGCCTGAATTCTTTGTTTCTTGGGTCAGAAATTCACTGCCATCTTGCTAAGATAAGTACAGGGCTTGAAAGGGAAAAAAATAAAAGTTCATCAGTTTTACCAGGAAAGGGAAAGTGAGCCAGCAAAATAATACCCATGATGTTGGCCCCACAGACAAGTGTCTCTTCAAACAAAAAAAAAAAGCCAACCCGCCCTTTCCTGCTAATAGTATAACCATGACTCCTATGCCCATAGTCTTAAAGAGGATTAAATGGGGAAACAAATTACAATTTCAATAATTCCAGTGACTTAGAAGTCTACGCTGGGATCATGAAATGAAATGGTAAGGAATATGGTAGAAGTTGTCTGCTTGTTTTTACTGTCTAGAAACTGAAAGATGATTATCTAAAATCTGGTAGTTCTAGCCACTTCAGCTGTCAACTGTGTACTACAAATGTACTCTTCAATTCTCACTCACTTTATCCCTCTCATTCAAGGCCACAGAAGAAGCACCTTTATATACATTAGCTCAGAAGGCAGAAAATGCAACTGAAAAACCTCACAAATGTAACACCATCGTATGTCTTCTTTTACCGCCTTTTGGCTATGCCAAAACAAATTCTCAGAATGTCCCATCTGTAACACTGGTTTCTGAAACGCGTAAAAATCTACATCTATTTCTGTATATCTATACAGAAATGTAAGTTTAAAAAAAAAAAATGGTAGAATAAAGGGATTCAATTACTTGGGGCTTTTTGTTTCTTGAAACTACAAAATTACCTGTTAGATTGCCTGCTATGCTCTTCCTCTCCAGTGCAGTAAAAATTCAGTTTAACTTGCAACTCAAAAATCCTAGATACAAAGAATGTTGACATTTACTGTTGAATTTGTAAATTATACTGTGTGCTTGATAGTATACGTAATACAATTCATATATTTATTGAACCCCTTTAAGATTTTAACAAATATAAAACCCTGCTAGTTTAAACAGATTTTCTTCCTTCCATATTTCAATATCCAAATTAGGCAAAAAGCCGAATTAAGTAAGTTTTTATTTTTGGCTGCGTTTACAACTGGCATTTTTCACCCTGTAAAAAAGTCTAGTTTTAATTATAAAATTATAATCTACGGATACACATAGGTCACAAAAAAATAAACTTTTCTTTACCTGAAGGTTTCCTTTGCTCTTTTCAAGGCAGACATACCCATTACTAAAATCACATACTGGAAATGCACAGACACACACATAACCATTTACTATGACAAAAACAAGCACTTAAAAAAATGAATTAACAATTTTAACTGATACATTTTGTTTTAATGCCTAGTCTTCATATTAGGCTAAAACAACTGCCACTACAGACATTTTTCATTTCAAAAATTAAAGGCCTTTTACATTTAACCTAAAACATGATTGTCAGCTAAGGATGCACATCGGAACTGTTTATAGAGTTTGTCAGACATACCCTGGCTTATATAAGTAAGTCTGGAATAAGTACTAGACCCAGGACCTCCTGTCTCATTTTATAAGCATCAGAGGTGTCTTTTTATAACCTTCACTCTCTCCCAATTCAGAAATATGCACTAGTGTGAAAGTTAATTATGTTTTACTTGGTAATTTGTTAACACTTCACTAAGTTGTAAGTGGAGGCTTCAAATCACAAACAGGTTTTATTATCCATTAAGAAATGTGAACCATCATTAAAATTAAGGAAAAAAGATCCTGTGTTCACCACTGCCGCTTCCAGTACGTCAGCTGCCCTTATATGTTGCTGACCATGTACCAGACATTGCAACTCTTTACAAATACTAACTTACGCCTTAAAACCTAGACAAACAGCTATTATTTTCATTCTACAGTAGACAAAAATAAGGTAGAGGACACTAGTTAATAAATAAGAAGCCAAGATTCAAGCAGCATTCTGGCTTTAGAATCCTTGGCCTTCCAATATGCTCCGCTGGTCTCTCTACATGTTAACTAGAATAGCATTTGTTATCTGTGGTACTATCAGATTTCTGTTCACTAATTCCTGCTGTTAGAACTGCTCATTCCTTGAAATGGTCAATAACACAAGAATGCCAAACTTTGAGAAGATACACAAAAGCACTGTACCTAGGAGTCATGAATCAGTATTTTACATTTCAGTCTGTCACAGTTTCAACACTTCAAGTCATCTTTCTTGACAGAAGGGAAACTATACACTAAATTTTTTGACAAAGCTTTGTTAAGGCCAGAGTTGCTAAAATTTTTAGAATATGGAGCACTTAACTACCTTTGTTTGTAAAATACTACAGGTATTATGCTTACTGTTAAGCATCTTTTCAACTTCAGCGTTAAACCACAACAAATACCACCTCCCTCAGATCCTAACATTGTTAATCCAGAGACTCCATCCTGACACTAGCATTCCAAAGGGTCACATCTACATCTGTGACACAAACACTCTTGATCTCACACTATGCTTCCTATTTTGAAAATAAATGTTTTGTATGGTACAGTCACTTTTCTTTTTTTCTTTTTTCTCCTACTACAAAGGCTTCCGGTAAAATTAACATACAGAAAGAAGGCCCATGGAGTCAAAGGAGGGATAAGCCTTAGTTACAGCAGTTTTGCCTATTCATATATGAGGTAAACTACTATCCTCAAAAGCACACTAAGGCAACTCAATAAAAGCCATTTTCTGCACAATCACACTAAACTTCTCGCTAATGTTTTCATTTAAAGGATTCTCTTGGAACCCTTCAAGGCTGCTATTACAACAATTATGAGATAGTGAACTTCAAAGTTTTTATTCAAACGTTTTCAGTCATTAGACAGCCCTTTTTCTATTATAATCTCTGCTTTTTGTTCTATGTTTAGAAAGAAAAATCTGTGATCTCCTGGGCTAGGTGGAAGTGAAAGGCAAAGGGGAAGAAAGAATTCTACCTTTTACCACTGTCCTGAAATGTCAATTTACAAAAAAAATTAGAATTCATAAAATTAAAATATTTCCCTTTCCAGTAAAAATTTACAAACACTCCAATGCACAGCAGAGACTTTTAAAATGACTAGCTGCTCAGATATCGGACTTCCTATATTTAATGGAAGGAATACTTCAGGGCTTATTATTGAAACTTTTATCACACAGTAGTACTCTTCCATTGCACTTCCGTTACAAGTTCATATAAGTTCCATTACTATGCCAAAGCGGGCAGCTAAAGACTTCACCCTTTATAACACACCCTGGAGATTTTAAAAACACTTTATTTAATAAAAGGTAAACATACAAAACTGAAATTAACACACATCCTAAAAATCATCTTCCATTAATAGGAAGACCCTTTTCTATGCATGTATTTGGCTTAAACTCAACTGCAGATAACAACTGATGTTCACACCAACAAATGCTGGCAATTTGATCTAGTTAATTAAAATTATAAACTCAGCTACATGAACATAATATACAGGGAAATTATGGTCAGATTAATGCACAAGAAATACAAGAAATTTTTAACGAAACATTCAGTACTCTTGTTCATTAATTTAGCCTTGGTTTTTTACAAAAATAGTATCTACATTGTATACAGGGCTATACATCAGCTTTTTGTTTTTTGATATAAACATTACATGTCCAAAAAAACAGTACCACTACCTTACGTGAAAAATTAAAGGAAAAAGCAAACATACAAAAAACAAATCCACAAAACACCGAACAGAAACATCTTAAAAAGGTAGCTCATCCTACACATTTTTCTACATAAAACTGAATTAAAAAAAAAAAAAAAACTAGACCAATTTTAGAGATGGCCTAATTGGCTTAGGAAACAAGGAAAGAAATACTTCAAAACAAACTTTGCCATTATAAAAGTAACCTACCTTTAGGTTTACCTTGACAGTAGCTAGGTTTTAAAGTTGAAAACAAACCAAAAAAGATCTCTAACTGGTGGTTGGTGTTTTGCCTTCATGTTCCAATGAGTAATTGTGTGTCAAATTCCAAGTTATGACTGTAAGTGAGGGCTTGGTATTAGTATCAACAATTCACCTAAGTGCCAAATGAAGCAGCCTCTATCTAGAAAAGTTACCTTATTCAGTAAACTCTGAGGGAACTATAGTAGTTGTAATGAAAAGTTAAATGAATAAGTTTCTCAAATGCAATTTCTTCAAGTTTCATTCTATTGAAGTCAAACAATGACAACAATGGTATCTTCCTTACTCACTTAGCAAATAATTTACCTTTAGAAAAATATAAGGATAAAAAGGTAAATGTAAAGCCCTGCAGAGATGAAATCCAACAGTTTTTCCAATTATTGAGGCATCAAATGCCTGACATTGTATTTTGAAGTATCTTGATACTGTGTCATAGGCTTATCCGCAATTCCACAAGTTCCTACTCCAACTTTGCCAGTTACACTCTCAGGTGAAGCAAAAATACTCCTCTTTACCTAGGGAAAAGAAAACAAGTCATTCCTAATTAGTTTTAGAAAAAAATGTTTTCTCCAGACTTAACTGTTAAAATAAATTCTAGTATCAGTATTAAAACAAAACAGAAAGACATTGCTTTTGTTTGCTTAGGGTAAAAAAAAATTAGTGAAATAGCTCAGTGCTGGAAGAAGCCATTTACGAACAAGTTATGGAAAATATTAGTACACACTATTAACACAACATTCACCGTTCAAAGATCTCAACATTCTAGCTTTATAATGTCAAATCATAACTTATGCTGTGAGCTATCTATTTTGGCACAACTACAACTCTGGCTGTATTCAAGAGTATGGCAAGGCCTGCTGTGATGTTTAAGTTGCGAAGACCCTTGCCATTTGTTAAATCATAAAATAAACATTGTTAGGAAACGGAAGCATTACTTTCCACGTTTACCAGTGGAGGAACCATCTTAAAAGAAAGAAAAATAAGAGATGGGTAAAAGCCAAAAATTTTTAACTTTTATGAATGCTATGGTTATTTTCTACTCAACACTCAGATGAATTTATCAAGGGGATGTGGAAGTTCTTTTAAATAAAATCTACCAGTGATGCTTATAAAGGAATGTGAACTAAGCAAAGAGTGTTCAATAAATTGCCTCTAAGTGATCTATAAGGCAGTGGATAATTTTTCTAATTTCTGTAATTCCTCATATAAACTCTAATTTGTATTATTTGCAAAGACAATGGCTAAAAATGATTCAATAAGCCACACTGAGGACAAATTCAAGAACTGGTTATTCATGTAGTTTTGAAAACCTAAGTACCTCCTTTTTAACTAGCTAAATCATTTGAATGATAGAATTACTTTAATGACAGCTGTATTTTCAGGTGTAGAAAGTGTGATGCAGATTTACCAACCTGGCCCTTTTTATTTTTAGAGTAGGCTCTGTTGTTGAATTGCTGCCACTTCACCTTCTGATCTTCTCTTTCCTGCTCAAGCTCTTTTATTCTTTGTGCCTTTTTCAAAGCTTTCTTCTTTTTATATTCACGCTGTTGGGCAATCATTTCTTTTCTGTGTAAGAAATAGAGCTAAATATCAATTCTTCAGATTTAAAAGATATCTTGTTTACCTTAGCAATGCAGGAAAAAAAAAAATCCAACAAACATACACTCTTCTCTCCACGAATAAAAGCCCGAACTGATTAAAATCAATGCCAATACCTACAACCAGTAAGAAATATATGTATTTTTAAAAGAGTATACAGTGTCACTGGAAGCTTTCAAACATTCATCTATTACATAAATCAAAATTTTCAACTGTGACTTATTTGACTTTTTTACTACTTTTACTAGCTGTGTTTTTATAACTTTTAGTAGCTGAGTATCAACACTTAAGAGTTTACCCTCAGTGTCACTCGGGCAGCATGGTTGTTTACATACCAACTATCCTGAGTGTTGCTCGGGCAGGTGGCATTTCAGCCAGTCAATTTTTGTATTGATAGAATTGTCACTTGTATATTTCTGTCGTCTTATAAAAATTAATGAAAAAAATGCAATTTTTGGTCATCTTGTATTTAAATAATTGGGCTGGTAAGTGGTTAAAGGCTAGCTAACCCTTTAATTTTCAAACAGAAACAGTTAACTGCAATTGCAGCATTTGAAGATTCAATGTACATAAAATATTTCACTTCAACTGGAAGAATACAGACACACACACAAAATCATAACTAATAATTCTTAAGACCAGTAACTAATAAAATTAAAAAACCTGAGGGTTAAACCAGGTATAGCAGTGCCTGTCTATATAATCCTAAGAGGCGGAGACAAGACAATCTCAAATTTGAAGCCAGCATGAGCAGCTTAGCAAGACCCTGTCTCAAAATGCAATTTTTAAAAATGGCTACGGATGTAGTTCACGGGTAAAGTTCTTGCCTAGCGTGCACAAAGCTCTGATTCAATTTGACCATTACAAAAACGACAACTGAAACAAAACCTAGGGTTTCCAAAAAATTTTAAGCAGGACTATAAACAGGATCAGACCTAGGACCACCAATAACCTCTGCTCAGTTAACATCAAGGAATAGAAGACGAAGAGATCTTTAAGACAGGCAATAAAGTCCAGGTGCCCCTGCACTACATACTGTGATCACCACCACAAAGCTCTAGGTACATCTTTTTACACAGAGGTCAAACGACTAAAACCAGAGATTATACATTATTTTACAATATCCTTATCGAAGATGTCCGTATGTTATTTGGAAACTGTACAAAAACTTCATTCCTACACCCATTCCTTGGATTCAGACGACCATCATCTTATACCTGGGATTACACTGTATTTGCTCTGCTTCAAAAAGTGCTTTATGATCTGGCTTCTACCTATCAAACCTCTTGGTACACTATCTATCTGCTAGGCCCAAGTTTCTACCAAAGGAAATTCTTTGTTACTTCTATGCCCCCACCCTTTATAAGGTAGGAATTTACTGAGTTATTACCACATGTTAAGAACTGTGTTATAAACTTTACTAATGCTATCCTTAATCCTCCAAACCCAATAATATAAATAACTATTGCCTGTGTTTTACAGATAAGAGATGGTAAGCAGTTTGTCTAAGGTAAACATGCACATTAAATAAGAAAGCTTCAGCTCCAGATATAGTCAATAACTTCTACTATTTTCACTTTGCTAACTTCTATTTTTTTTGAAATCTCAGTTTAGATGTCATTTTCCCAAGGACACTGCTCTGATAATTCCAATTTCAGTACCTCTTTTATGGGAGGCGGCATTAAGGACTGAACCCAGGACATTTGCACTGAGCTACATATCCTCAGCCCTTTTTTATTTTGAGACAAGGTCTTACTAAATTGCTAAATTTCTCAAGCTGGGCTCTAACTTGTCAAAATTTTGCCTCAACTTAAAGTGCTGAGATTACAAGCATGCACCACCATGCCCAACTATCATTAAACCATTTTTTAAATTATGTGTTCCCCTCTCGGGGTATTTCTTTCAGTAAGAAAAAGGCTTAAGTTGGTCTTTACTAAGACCCAGTAGTACCTGACTGATAAAATATGACAGAATGATATTCTAAGTATACAGTATCTCACAGTTATTGAATGTCTAGTGGGAAACACACTGTCTCCATTTTCCCTAAGTACACATATACAGACCATGCTGACCCTACAGCACTAATCTCTGAAACTATGGTAAACAGTATTATAGCTTCCTCACCCCATCACCCCATCTCTTGCAAAGATTCTCTTTGTAGACTACCTACTAGCAAATGGAGAACACCTAGAAGATGAAAGTCAAAACCACTTACTTTGACATGGGTTTGCTGCCACTGTCCTCCTTTGCCTTCCTTCCTTCTTCTACAGGCTTGAGGTTCAACAGTGGAGTCACTTCAGCATTGCCATAGCCAGCAAAGGTGATTGCAGCGGTGCCATTCTCTTCGTCTATCTCCTCAATCTCCGCTTCATAACACCTGTAAAGATATCATGGCTGTAAGCAGGTGAGTAAAGATTTAGTACTCAGCCTACAAGACTTACACTGCAGTGACTCAATTATTACATGTGTCTACAATGAAACTTTTTAAATGGTTCTTTTGGCAAAAACAATACAAGAGTGGTTGAAATTAGGAACCTGCTATTAAAAAAAGCCCTAATCAAAATACTGCCAAGAAAGTCGTATACTGTCTATTCAACATGCTTTAATCTTTTGAGAAATGGTATAAGCTACAGAATTGATTTTAGTGTTTGTACATCACAGAACTCAGATAATACAATATTTACCTAATTTTTAACATGCAAAGAATTTAGTTTAGAAAATACAGTGGTACCCTGGTTCACAAGTGCTTTTGCTTATGAACAATTTGGTTCACAAGCCAAAGCATTAGGCAAAATTTTGTTTTTGTTTGAAAACTTTGTATCAGGTGAAAACAAATTTGCAGCCATTTTTCTCACATAAACATAAACATGGCCAACTTTTCCAGAATCGTGGAACAAATTAAGTCTGTGAACTGAAGTACCCCTGTACATGCATTTCCCCCGACTCTGGGGACCAAGTCATTTTTTTCTCCATCAGTCTTAGTCTGAAGCTATAAAACTAAACTATATTAATAGTAACCACCCAAGAATTAAACTGGCTGTACGAATTACATACCTGTAAAGAATAATTCAAATAGGGTAGTTCAAACTGAATAAAAACATCTTACCATTGTATTTTATTATTTCATGTTATAGTTAGAGTTTTTTTTCTACACTTACTGTCCATCTTCACTCCAGATTGCCATACACTTGTCTCCTACTTTCCATGAATGAGTGGGCTGACTAGAAGCAAAACTGTCTGAACTTGTAAGAGTTTCTGAAGGTTGAGTTGACAGAAGATCTTTGGTTAGTTCTATAACTTCCTAAAAGAGAAAAACAAAAACCATAACATTATTTTTTAAAATTCACACTGTCAACTACTTTTAGTTTTGACTGATGACAGCTCTTATACCACGTGTTAAGTACTATTTCATGTATAGCTCGTAACACTATTAGGAAAGTACTATGATTATTTCCAAGTAGAAACTGAGATACTGTAATTTAAGTCTACATGGATAGCCTCAACCACAAAATACTAATGGAAATAAAGTAGACTTAAACTTATATCATGCATTACTTCTAAGTGCCTATTTTCTCTAAAGATGAGAAAAAATGGAGGGATTGAATTAGTTCAAGATCTCTTTTACAATGGCGTAATATTTCATGCAGCTGCACTGTTTTACAGGGCATTATTTAGCAATAGTATTAATTGTCCAGCCAACAACCTCTCCACAAATCCCCAAACACTTGAAGTACCCTTATTCGTAAGCAAAATGTTCCTACTTACACATACCTCTACTCAAACACTGTAGACATATAAAAAGAAACCAGCAGTCTTCCTACTCATTGACTATAAACCTTACCTGAACTATAAGCAAATTATCATTAGATTTAAAATATTCTACACCTTAATATTTATTAGGCACATTAGCACAGCTTCATTTGAAAAGAAAAAAATAATAAAACAAAAGTAACACAGGCAGGCAATGCCTGCCTATGTGGCAAATATCTTTTCTAACTCAGAGTTGTATTTATCTGTTGGATTCAAGTGTTAGAATCGGTTTAAAATCTTGTGAAGCAGTATAAATTGATAATATTCTGCTACCTATTTGTGGTACTTTTACTGTACTGAAAATCTATACTATTTATATCTTATCTGACTTAAGAACTTGCAGAGCTGTTCCCCTACACTGCTGAATTTAAAACACACTGTGTCTATGGGAGAAAAACTGGAGAAATTAACTTAGTTTCTTTTGGCTCCCACTGAGGTTTCATAACAGTAGCTCTGGTTCAGCAGCCAAGAAAGTTAAAGATTACCTCTTTCCCGAAGATTCTAAACCTAAAATCTAATATTTTGGCTTAAAAAAAAAAAAAAAAGAAAGGAGTAGTAAACCATTGGAGAAAAGCTAGCTTTATGGATTAAAAAACCAGAAGACTCAAATTTGAGTTTAAAAATGCAGGAGAGTACTATCTTTAAATTTTGCTAGAGGCCAAGCCGTCATTCAATTTTTTTCACAGCCCTGAAGGTAGGACATGACTTTGTGTTTGAAGGACTGAAGTTGTAAATAGGCCTGTGCAAGCTTGGCAAGCATTCTACCAGAGTCTCATCCCAGCCCTTCAACACCTGTCAATCCACAGTTGGTTAAAAAAGCAAAGAAGTCCAGATGATGTAGTACACAGAAGAAACTACCTAGTTTTGTTTTTGCTAACCACTTTTAGAGCTGGGAGTGTAATCCAGTAAGCGTGATGCAAGCGCCCACAAAATTCCTTCATTAAATACTTCCACATCCTATTAAGGATCATTAAACTTTTTAGCACATGCACAAGTTTTGGACTTGTAGTCTCAGACTTAGAACACTTTTCTTTTAAGAAAGGACATTTTCCTACTGTCCTCACAAGGGAATGTATTTTTACCAAAGAAAAGAGTCCCGAAAAGCTGTGCATATTACAAAGAATTTTCAGAGCCCTAAGCTGAAATGATCCTTTTTATAAAAAATAAGATCCAGAGCATTTCCTAATGTCCCATTATCCTGCTATGGTTTTATATACCCTCCCAGCAAAACTATGAAGAACCCTGTAATTTTATTTTTTCTTTACATGTGCACATGGACCAAAGTATTAGAAAAGCTATTTTACATATGAGGGGGTTCTTAAAGGTACATACCATTAATTACTTTTCCTCCCCCAAGTCTGAGTTCTGAAACTGCTCCTTCATTGACAGATGGGCAGCAGTTACAGTAATCGGCAATTCCAGGAAGCATCAGGTGTTGTGATCTACATATCAGCAGGTCAAAGGGGGTGCACTCAAGCACTCTGCTTACTGAAGGAAGGCGTTTCGGGGATGCAGAGAGCCACTGTAATATATGAGACAAGTGACTTGACCCCTGCCTCCTTTAGAACCAGTTTATTTAGCAAAACAGCCTAATAAATTGACTATCTTTTTGATTATCATAGACTGCCTTGGGATTAGCTAGCCTGGATTTTACCTCCCCTATTGTTTAAGTGGGGGAAAAAAAAAAAAGAAAGGCAGTTAGGACGTCATTAAATGAATATGCTGCCTCCTGAGTAACTTTATTCTATATGAAAGACAGTACATAAAAGCAATGAACATAAGAAACCTTACTGGAAAAACAGAAGCCACTGAAAAGACTCAGGATACATTATAAGCAAAAGGCAAATATATTAATAACCAGGATAAGGACAGATTCCACAAGGGGAACACAAAATAAAAAACCATACGGTGGTCCAAAATATGAAATAAGGAAGCCACAAAATCAGCAATTGAGCAGACTTTTCACCAAAAGTAACAGGCAAAATTAAATGCCAATGGCACAAGATACATCCCAGAAAGAAAAAGTAGGCGAGGCAGGGACACAAAGCAAAATAGAGTCTGTAACTGTAGTCTCCACAGAGACAATTACTTGGTGGAATCATATAACCAAATGCTTTTTAGAATTTCACCTTGAAAATCTTAAAAAAAAAAAAAAAAGCTTTCCTTTTCTTAAAAAAAAAAGCTTTCCATCTTTGAGGAGTTTTCAATCAAAATTTTCCCCTCATGATACAATAAACTAATCAAGACAAACTAATCAAGCATTCTGCATTATCACTATCTGAGGTATTAGCACTTAAGCTTTCTGAGTCTCTGTCCTAATATGCAGTTACATGTAATTCAATAAAATCAAAAATTCAGCTCCTCACTCCCCCTAGCTATGCTTCAAATAGCCACATACGCTAAGTGGCTGTGGTATGGAGCAGCAGAAAAGAACATTTCCATCATTACAGAAAGTTCCACTGGACAGTGTTGTTCCAAATGGTTAAAGAAAAGATATTTATTTATAAAAGATGCTCAGATCATTACCCGAACCCTAGCACCTTTTAGGTACCATTGTACTCTCTACCACAATAGTTTCTCCCTGCAACATTTTCCACTACAGATCATATAAGACACTGTGCCCACACTCTGAAAACAACTTATTCTAGAAATATTAGAAGTACCTGCTAATAACGCTATTTCAAACTCCACCCTCAAGACCCCCTCCACCAGTTCCACATATACTCCTCCCTCCCACTGCCAAGGAAGCAATATACAGTATAAAACACTGGCATACAATGTTTCCTTCAAAGTAAAAAAGGGCTGCTTTTAAGTTGATAAAGGAAGATGGGCCATCTCTCTGAGGCAAAAAGAAAGCTGGTACTCCAAAGAAGTCCGCTTTCCTTTGTTACCTCCCCTTCAGTGCATATTCACAGAACATGTGAGCAGATCAAACGACTGCAGCAGGAGTAAAACAACGGGCATTTTTTACAAAAGGACTCAGACAAGAGAATCTGTCCTCAAAACACCCTTCTTTTACTGACTGGCACAATGAAATCCACAGGCCTGGCTTCTACATATTGAAAAAGGGATCCTGTTCGAATTCTCAGAGCTTTTAAAAATAGCGTACTATTGCAAATTTATCTTAAACCGAGAATTTGAAAATACTCAACCCACTTTTAATTACGCTCACATGAGCTCTTTCAGGATCCCAACTATAGACCTCATTTAAATTGTTTATTTGCAGTTGTAATAGCCCTAATGGGCAACCGGGTGATAAAGGGAAATATTATTTGGATAAGATAAAGAATCAGTAGAGAGACATCATCAAAACACCCTGAAAACTTAAAAATTTCGTTCAGAATTTTAAGTTCTCAAGATGAAAAATCATGTATCTGTGTAGTATTCACAAACTATATATGGTGTTATTCTTAACTCGGTGTCCTGAAAGCAACAGATACTTACAATCATGGCTTTATATTTGTCTTGAAACCCCAGCACAGTTTGAAAGTTTTATACTTACTCAAATCTCCATGACAAAAAGATCTGCTTTACCACATCAACTCAACCTCAGCAAGGGCCAACATTTGCACTGTAAAAACTTAGTCTTAACTTCAAATAACGATACAACATTAATACAGAAAAATTTTCTTTTTAGATATTGCTGTTTTGTATTTTTAATACCAGGTGTAACCCACTAGCTTTGAAAAGAAAAAAACCACACTTTCAAAGAATCTTAATTAGGTTACATTTTTCTTCTTTAAAATTTAACTTAATTTCCCCTGCCAACTCTTGAAAATAAAGGCATGTTCCATTATCAAGTTTATTCTCTTGAAATTTTGAGACTTTCAAAATCGACTCATGTTTTTAGAATCCCGGAAGCACCCAAGGTTTTCTTAACTGTAGTGTTTCATTCATACTGCTGTATGCAAGTTGGGGAAGCAACTCTTTCTCTACAAGCCTTCCTGTCTATATATACATGGGGGGGCAGCCCAGCATCCTGGAAGGGTACTTTGAGTACCTACAGATTCTAAACAATAAATCATTTCAAAAACACAACAACACTCTTTTTAAGCAATGATAACTACAACTGTCTACCCATACTTACTTGTAAATCTTTCTTCAATTTTAGCAAATCTTCATTTTCTCCGTTTCCAGATAATGCAGCTTCTACTTGCTGGAGTTGAGCTTTGTAGCTTGCCAGCTGTTTTGCTAGATCCTCTGACATCTGGGGAAAATATAATACAGCTGAATATCAAACCATACAAACTGTTTCCCTAACTTGCTCGAATTTACAAGTTTTGCTCCCACCTTATTAACACTGCACCTTAATTTACCATTATTTTTACTTTTACTTCAGACCTGAACTAAACCACAAACGTCAAGGCAACAGATTTTGCAGATCATAAATATGTGCGATATATTCAATATAAAAAGACAGAAAATGCTTCAGACGTAAAGGAAAACTTTTAGTTTTAATTCATCACAGGCAAGGCAGTGTTTGGCTCAAGGATCACAGTTTATTACATGTCGTTTAAACAGGACTAGTCTGCTAGGATTCTCAAAACCTCGGAAAAAATACTTTTAAGCGTGACAAAATACGTTCAAAGCGAAATAAACACATTTTTAGTTAACTACACAAATACTATTCCTCACTCGAACTGTTAATGCAATTACGAGTATACGTAGCTCTCCAGAACAGAAATCTTCCACCCAGTCACTTAAACACGCAGTTATTGGTGTATTTTCTTGAGCAACACCACAATATACCCTCGCGTGCGGGCATCTTAGAGACGTGCCTGCGGCCAAATGCCGTTCACAACGCTGACCAAGAGCTACGCTCTGGCCCTTCCCTGGAAATTTGTAAGCAGACGTAGGGGACTTCCTAGGGTCTTCTCGAAATGCGCGTCCAGAGAGCGCCCGGAGTCTGGACAGACTCCAAGGGTGGAAGCCAGCCAAGCCGCCCTCCTCCCGGCCGCCCACCACCACCTCCCCTTCCCGGGGCGGCGCGGGGCCTCCGCACCACCGTGCCCGGCCCAGGCCGCCCCGCGAGCCCGGCTCCCTGGGCTCGGGCCTCCCCGCCAGCCGGCAGCGACCGAGGCCCGGCGAGGCCCGACTCTCCCTGACCGAGTCTGTTACCTTGTGTGGGACTAGGGGTAGGGCGGCGGGACGGGGTCGGGGCAGACGGGCCCAGTAGCGGCGGCGGCAGCAGACGCAGCAACAGTACGAAAAAAAAAAAAAAAAAAAATCTCCTGGAGAAGACGATTGAGTGGGAGAAGGAAAACCTCCGTTCGCGGTGAGGGGGAAGGGAGAAAAGCCGGGCGACGGAAGGAGGAACAAGATAAGGCGAGCACGGTCTCGCGAGACACAAACTACCGCGAGACGCTCCTTGCGTCACGTGATTCACTACGCCCTTTGCCTTACGTCTGGACCGCAAAGCGGGCGGGGCCAAGTAGGAAGGAAATTGCGTAGTGATCCGCGCCCGCCTCGTAATATAGGTGAGTCAAACCTTAGTTCCGGCTCGGAACCGGGAGGTGCTGGGTAGTTCTCTCGGGTTGATGAGGTCCCCCGCGGAGTAATCTCGTGTGAGGTTGTGGAAGGAACAACATTCGATGCAGCCTTTATACCAGTGGATTTCAAAGTGTAGTCCCCAAATCAACCCTATTGCGTCACCTGGGGATTCAGTGGAAATGCGTATTAAGTCCGAGCCCAGACCTGCTGGGTCCAGAAACTCTGGGTAGACTGCAACAGTCGTTTTCTACAAGCCTTATAGTTGATTCCGGTGTCCACTCAAACTAGAGAACCTCTTCTCGATATAATAAAAGCCTTAGTAGCAAGAGAAAACTGAGTTGTAGCTGAAATTATTGGAGACTGATCGATTTAAAATCTATTTGTTACTACAGTACTTGGTTTTAGTTAAATTGATTGGGTAAATCTCACCTAATGGGGAACAGTTTCAAACTTAATAGTCTTGAATGATAAGCAGAGTGTTCTGAATTTATGTTCAAAAACGCTCATGATGTATGTAATAGTACAACATGTACGGGTTCTATACTGATGCCCAGAGCTGTTGAGAGGTTTGAACGGAGGTCAAACGCCTCTCTCGCCTTCCTGTTTCCCCTCCACCATGTTTATAAATTTATTTCAAGTTTTAAAAAGTAGATAAAGACCCGAAACAAAAGCTGTGGGGATGCCTGGAAAGAACTTTGCTTGGAGGATTGGGTTCTGTTGCCGGACCCAGAAGGCGGCTCTCAAATGGAACTGTGGAAACATCTTATTTTAGATCCTTGCTTTCTTTTGAAGGATTCCTCTCTTTTCCTCTCCATGCACGCACGTGTAGTCTGAATAGTGAGTCAGGTAACCTGTGAAGATGGGAATCTAGGTCAGGTTTGTAGGTGTGACTGGGATGGAGAGCAACTTGCAAGAATTGAAAATGCTGCAGAGGGCACCGGTGTGCAGCTACAGTTAAAGAAAACAAGAAAGTATGTACCTTTCCTTGGATTCAGATTTGTTTAAAATCATAAGTTTTGACACACTGTTCTTATTCTGTGTATTTTAAGAACTGCTGCTAAGAGAGTCTTCATTTACAGGCATGTAAAATTGCTCTCAAATGAGAATTTTTTCTGAACCTCCTAGATCAGAGAATAGGGAAATACAGTAATTGTTATATGTTCCAGTATAGATGAATAGACCATCTTGGTAGTTTTGTTTTCAGAATTATTTTTAATCTCTCCATCTAGGTAACAAATTTATAAAGAAAAGCTATACTGAATTTTAATTCTCACGAAGAGATGATTACATTTGTATGTACCAGACAACATCTAAAGACTTTACATGTATTCATTTAATTTTCATGATGCTGTGGTGTCAGACAAAACTGGAGCAAGTATAAGCTTTGACTAAGAGTGATATTTCAAATAGGCTTTCTGCCTTACCACATCCTTTGAAATGTCAAACTCTATATTCAGTGATTTTTCTTAAAATATTCATATTCAAGTTAATCATGCTTTTTCTTCAGAAAAATCAGTATCCTAGCATGTGCGAGTCCTTGGGTTATTCCCAACACTATAAAAGAAAACAAAGAGAAGTATCTAAAACCTTTAGTTCCTTAAACTTGGTATTTATTTTATTGAAACCCAGTAAGTATATAAAATATAAAGACCCCAAATTGTCATCACAATATACAGCTACTTTCTTTCCATTTGAAATTTAAAGAGCTACTGAGTAAAATTATAGCTGTTGCCTTTGGAAATGGGCCAACCCATCTCAAAGCAAAGAGTGTACAGTAAATAATATATGTTGGTAAAAAAGGAGACTATTCCTTAACCTTATTGTGTCCTCTCCTGACCACATTTGCCCACGTTTCCCCATACCTCAACGAATACCTAAAGTGATGAATTATAGATGTATACATAGTCATAATAATTGCTTATGCTCTTGGCTTTCTTTAGTCATAAGAGGAATTTTGAATGTCTCATAGAGATTTGCACAGGACTTTCTCTTCTGTGTTTGAGTATTTTGGAGTACAGTGCATTGAACACAATGTGGGGTGATTCATAGGTGGCATCATCAACTTAAGATTGATGGGGAGAAAACCATCAGTACAGGTGCCCATCTATTTATGAGTCATGGCAATCTACCTAAATTTATATTGCCTTGTTAGTCTTACCATATTTTCACCTATTCTGTGTTTTGTCTGTCGTTAAAGAACAGAAAACTATACCAGTGAAGGATAAGAAAATGAGCCACTAAAAATAGATAACAAGGATTTCATCATTCAGGAAAAGATTATAATCTAAATCTTTAGAAGGATGAGGAATAGCAGTTGTAGTCTTTAGACCTACTGAAAAGCAGCTTTCCATAGTACAGTTTAAGTATCCCTTTTCTGAAATGCGTGGGACCAGACAATTTTGGAATTTTTTTTTTTGAAGGCAGGGGATTTGGGAATATTTGCATATAACTAATGAAATGAGATACCTTGGGGATGGAATAAAAGTTTAAATGTGAAATGCAATTATTTTCATATACACCTGTCTATGTAGCCTGAAGGTAATTTTATACAGTATTTTTAGTGCACCTGCATTTTAACTGTGGCCTGTGAAATGAAGTCAGATATAGAATTTCCTACTTGGGGTGTCAAGTTTCAGATTTGGAGCATTTCAGACTTCAGATTTTCAGATTAGCGATGTTCAACCTGTACTTTGTACATTTTTTATGCTATATATTCTAGCACAAGAACCCGAACAAGCATCTCTCAAATATTACATATTATTGCTACTTGTACTGTAATTTTGGTAATGTAATTTTGATGGGTTGGCAATGTAGCCCAGTAGTTGAGGTCTTGTCTTGTCGGGTCAAGGACTTGGGTTCAGTCTCCAGCACTAAAAGCAAAAACAACCAAAAACAACCCAAAACAAAAAAAAATTTTAAAAAACCCTCTGATATCAAATTTCAATTAGAATCTTTTTAGGGAGGCAGTATTGGGGATTAAACCCAAGGCCCTCCAACTGAGCTACATATGCAGTCCTTTTTGTTTGGGGGCACAAGGTCTAGCTAAATTGCACAGGCTGGTTTCAAACTTGTGATCCTCATGACTTAACCTTCAGAGTACTTGGATTATAGGCATGTGCTAGCACACTCAGCTAGAATTATTTAATATATATTTCTTTGAAATAATGTCACCCCAATAGAGGGTGCCCATATTTTAGTATCTAGCTACCATTCTCCACTAAAAAGGAAATGGCATTTCTTAGGAAGATGGATGATTTTGGACTTCAGGTCGAGCACGTACAAAAGTGCAAAGTTGAGACTGAAACACCTTTCAGAAAGTAAGGAAGTATCCAAAAACTAATAGGAAGTTAAAAACCCACATAACCCAGCTTTAGGGAACTCCACTGGCCAAATATGAATCTATTTGGTCACGTTTCTTCAATTAAAAAGAGTAATAACTATAATAGATTATCAAGGCACTGAATGTACTTTTTAAAATACAGAGTGATACTCAAAATTAATCATGGGGAAGAGAGTTTTTCTTTGTAGAAGAAATAAATGTAGCCAATAAAGGTAAACAGAATGATAGAATTGCAAAGTTCACCATTTGCAATTCCAAATGGTTTAAGCAAGGATCATCATTAAAAGCTAAAACTTAACTGGTGAAAGTAGGTGGGGAAAGGGACAATGGGTACATAGAATCAAGGGGTCACACAGGGCAAGTGTCATGCACCACAGACTGCTTAATAATTAAGCAGGAAATACATTTAAATATGAAGAAATTCAGCCGTCACTGACTTAACCCAGCGATCAAATGTAGTGCCACTACTGTGGGATGACCTGACTTCACTTGTCTCTTGATTTGGTACAGCGTGACATGACAGTGTCACATATGACGGAACCTCGCCCAGATGCTTAACCTTAATGTAACTAAGCCTTTTACACAACTCCCAGTTCACAGGAAATACAGGCATCGAGGAACAAGTAGAATGACCAGGTGAAGATAAGCAGATCCAGAATGTGGGACATTCAATAAGGGGATGGACCTAAATTCTTAAAACGAAAACAAAAACAAACCCATGTCATTAAATATTGGAGGACTGTTCTACATTAGGAGACAAAAAGATACAACCACCCAATGCAATGAGTATATCTTGACTGGATCTGGGTTTGGAAAAATAAGGCTATCGAAGAGGGCGGGACATTTGAATATGGACTAATTTATTAGATGATAATGAATTATTGTTAATTTTATTCGGTGTGTAATTATTTTGTGGTTACTTAGGAGAATGCCTTGTGCTTAAATTAAGTATTTAGGGATAATGTATCCTAACATTTGTAAGTTTCCTTCAAATGGTTTGGCAAAAATATGTGAAACTTTACATAATTCACATATATATGTGTATGTGAAGACACAGAGAGAAAGGGACAGAGAGGGATAGAGCGGAGGGAGAAATGTCATTGCTTCTAGATGGTAGATATATAATTGTTCATTGTACTAGTCTTTCAACCCTTCTATGTATTTGATATCTTTCAAAGTAGAAAGCTGGGGGAAGTGTCCATGAACTGGCTGGAACACCTTTGAGAACAGTTCTGGGGTGTGCATATGCAATGGTGAGCAAGAGCAGCGGAGAGCTGAGGGAACTCCAGGAGCTCGAACAGCTTTGCAAGCGCAGCCTGCCAGAGTACTGGAATTACAAGAATGCTCCACCATGCCCAGCTTCACCACAGCCTTTTTTTTTTTTGGTTTTTCTCCGGTACCGGGAACCGAACTCAAGACCTTGCGCTTGCCAGGCAGGCGCTTTGCCGCTGAGCTAAATCCCCAGCCCCTCACCACAGCCTTTTACATCCAGAGTTAATTGGATTTTTCTGCCTTCAAGCCCCTAAAAGTACCCTTTTTATCTGAGCTTTCCCACCCCCACATTCATGGATGCCTCCAGTTTATTTATCTTAGAAAAAAGGAGAAAACAAGCAAAAATACTTCACATCACTTTTATTGCACAGTGGA